GTTATTGGCCTCGCAGGCACACCCAGGCGGTGGTTAACGGGTTTATTTCTGTTTTAATTTATGCCCGCACGCTGTTTACCTATTGTATCTTTATTGATTGCTGTAACAAAGTGCACTCGTGTATGGTTGGGTAAATATATTTTGAATTTAAAAGTTAGATAGACAAGACTTGATGAAAAATAAGTGTCTTAGATAGAACACTGGATCTCATGGTGACTGTGAGTGTTTACACAAATATGCACTCCAGTCCACCCAACCAGTGTACCTAGCCATTTATACACGGGTCATTTTCCTTGTTAAAATTTCCCACGTTTCACTCAATCCGCAATTTGCGCAATGCCTTTATCGCAGTTCCCGCAATGATGTTTACGTTTAATGAGCGCGTTGTCGAATCTTTATTAGATCTACTGCAGGGCAACTTTCTGGTTGTACACCTTTCACGTACGCTATCTTCATTCTCTATAAATAGCAAATAACGTCCTCTTTTACACATGTATGGCAGTGTATATGGATCGAAGCCTCCCTTCTATACCCATGGCATATTTAAATCTTCATACATTCGCAGTGTACCGATCTTCGTGCGCTCTTACTATAATTTGGCGAGAATGTTGTATGTATGTATTGTATGTATGTATGTATTTGTATGTTATGTATGTATGTATATATGTTATGAAAGGCTCCGTCATTTGGATCCAAATAGCGGCAAATTCACAGAAGAGATTGATGGAGTACACGGGACGGGTTCTTAAAACTATACTCGGTTGAAAACCGTTTGTTCGGTCTTAAAAAAGACACAAAAAACAAAAAGGTAAAGATTTTGCCTGAAAAATAGAGGGGTTGCTGTTTTGTTTTCGTTCTGTTTCAACAGGACCGTATCATTCAGAGCATATAAATCATGCCTCTCGCTATATCATTCTACCTCTCGCTATATCATTCTACCTCTCGCTATATCATTCTACCTCTCGCTATATCATTCTACCTCTCGCTATATCATTCTACCTCTCGCTATATCATTCTACCTCTCGCTATATCATTCTACCACTCGCTATATCATTCGAAATATGACGGCCGTAATTGAGATCAAACAGCGGATGGCTCCCGCATGTCGGCCACGGAAAGCCTCGACCTCCTCCCCCGAGGGTGTGGGGGTGGGGGTGTGGTGGTGTGGGGGGGATGAACGAATGTGCACCGAGCGCACGGCAGCGATGCATGACTGCCTGCTGATGCCCACTGCGCAGCAGCGCACTAACTGCTGCATCAAGCAGGTCCTATTATTATTTATATTATTATTATATACTACTTATATTGTTCTATTGCTGCGATATGCAAGCGTGTTACGCGTCATGCCTCACGTGACGTACGTTACGTGTCACTTGTTACGTGCCATACGTTACGTGACGTACATCGAGTGTCATTTGTTACGTGCCACCTGCCACGAGCTATGCGCAATGTGTTACGTGTCATGAGTCATATGAGACGAGTGTTACGTGCTATATGTTACATAACATGTGTTACGTGTCGCTCGTAATGTCGTGTCACGCGTTATGTGCCACGTGTTATACGACATGCCATGCAGCCTGTGTGTTGTTCCTCGCACACATATGTCACATATACTAACGGTAACGAGCGTTATGCCTATACTGTGTCCTGCATGGCTGTGTTTCATGGCTTTACCTGTTCATGAGCTCGCTACCGCACCGTAAAATCTCTCGCATCCCCACATGCAATACATTTTTAACATCCTGCATGTCTATCTTTGCTCGCTTCTCAACACCAGCCTTCTCCATCGGCTTACTCCTCCCTCTCGTTTTTAAACCGTAGTGTTCACAACACCGGCTTCCCCGCGCCTTTTTCGAAATCGAAGCCAATCCTTTGGGATCCACCAGACCGAAGAAGGGTATCAGATTCGCAGCAGCCCTCCGACTGAGAAACGGACGAATGGATGTAACGCGGGGCTTCACGAGCGCGTAAATCCACTAATTCGCTTTTTGTGAAATTTCAACACTTACTACACTGTGCACTTACTCGTCCATTTGCTAACGTTTCGCCGAAGCAAAAAACCGTGAAAGAAAGTACGCGAAGCCAAGGCCGACGGCAATCTGTGAAGAGGGAGGGAGTCAGCA